CCGACATCAATGCCACCAAAGTCAAGACGCACAGCAGCAAGTGACCCCTTTCCCAGCCTGCAGCCTCCCCCAGGGTCAGGCCATTGGGCTCCTCATGCCTGGGCCACGCAGCCTCTGGTGAGTGAGGGAGCCCACCAGCAGCAATATAGCCTAGTGGAGGCTGCGCTCTGGCCCAGGGAGCATGTGGGGGATGTAGCTTGTTCTCTGTTCACTTGGGAGGTGGTCAAGGACCTCCACCATCCTGCGTCAGCCTAAAGACGCAGCTAAGAGTTTCAAAGCCAAACATTCTCACTCCCATGGGAATTCCCAGCTCCCCAGCCCTTGGCTTCCCGACCCTGGGCCTTGCTCGCAGATTTGTGGCCAGGCTTCTCTGAAAGCCATTCTGGACCACTTGGCTTTTTTTTTTTTTTCTTTTTTTCAAGGTTCAGTTTTTTTGAGAGATTTGCAATGCAAGGTCTCCCTGACCCCTTGCCACAACTGGAAACACTTGAAGGGGGATCCCAGAGCCAGCTGTTGCAGGTTCCAGGGGTCTCCTGGACCACCCACTGCTTCTCCCCAGCTGCGACACGCTGTCATTCCTTAGCATCAGCTAAAGGGTTCTGACCAGGTCAGGGACAACCCCTGCCATACAGAGCAGAACACCTCACCCAGGCCTGAGTGCCCCCCACTCCAGCCACTCCAGCCCTGGTGGGGCGGGCTTCTTCCTGGGGACTCTCAGCCCACTGCAGATCTGTAGCCAATCAGAGGAGGGGAACAGCGAGCCCCTCGGCAGCCATACACGAACAGTACACCCTGCTTCCCTCAGAGCCAGCCTCCTCGGGTTCAAGCCCTGGAAATGCCTTCTGGCCATTAAGCCTTCCAGGAATCTGGACAGTAGGGAGCCCCCGTCTCTGCACGCCACCTCTGACTTGCCAAGCTTGGCCTCTGCCTGCCCCCATCTCAGGGACCATGATGTGTCTCATTCGCTCCCATGCTCCCCAAAGGCCGACCCCCGACCCCTCCTTAGATCATGCCTGCTGCCCCCAGAATGTCCCAGGCATATGCCACCAGCCAGTGCTCCCAGCATCTGCCCCTGCCCCTCCCCATTGGGGACTGCCCGATTCCCACCCTATACTGAACAGTATTGAAATGGGACCTGGTAGGGAATGTGTCTCCTCTCTCCCATAAAATGCTGTTCTTAAACCTCCCATCTTTTTTTGAGGTGTGGGGGTTTTAAGGACCCAGCTGGGTCACAGGTTAAACCTTTTGTTAAGGCTTCAGAAAGTCCAGCTTCAGCTAAGAGATGTCCAGGCCCCCAGCTTGCCCTGAGCATTTCTCCAGGGTTTCCAGTTCCTTCTGCCACCCATCCTGAGATCCTAGAAATCAGAGGAGCCACACAGCCCGGTGGAAGGCAGCAGCCCTGGCCTCTGTGCTGGGAACCCAGCAGGGACCTTCATGCCTTATCTGTTTCTAAGGGGTAAAGGGGTTTTTCTTAACAAGCATGCCCGACCTCCCTGGAGGCGCTTACCCTGCTCTCTGGGCGGCACTGTGATGAGCGCTGTCGGCTGGTCCTTCCATTCACACATCTTGGAACCCTTTGTCCTTTGGAGCTGGGCAGTTCCCAGCCCTCCGTGTGTCTCTGTCATCTAGGGTGGAGGGGGTAGGGTGGGGAAAGGGCTCCTGCCTGTTTGCTCCCCAGTTCTGTAGCGGCCGACCAGCGTCACCTTTGAAGTATACCCGAGAGAAATATATTTACAAATGCTTTATTCTCTTCTTTAATAAAAAATGCACCAGTATTCTAAAAGCAGAAGTGGCCCTGGAGCCATGGTCCTGTCTTTGTGCATCTCACATACCCACTGTACATCACACAGCTCTGGGGATTGAGGGCAGAGGGGAAGGCCCAAGCTTCACTCCCTTGGGATTTGCAGCCAAACAGCCCTATTACTGAGGGTGTTATCAGGGAACTGGGCAGATAAGGGGTGGTGGTGAAGGAAGCAGATTCCAGGAAGAAGGGGTAGATTTGCCCACTCACTCTGCCTGTCTGCTCAGCCCTTCAGGGAGGAAGGAAGATGGGTCTGGAATAGAATTAGTAAGACTGGATTTCCCACCCCAGTGCTGCAGAGAAAAAAATAAAAGCCACCCAATCCCCGAAAGTAAAAAGTTCCTTATCATCCCTTTGCAGCAGCTAACTTTTGTTGTCTGTTGACTTCGTTCCAGGCAGAGTCAACCGTGGGAGGCAGCTATAAAATCTCTGTTCTACTGATGGAGTTTCTGAGGCTTAGGGTTAAGTCAGGAATTCAAAGTCACATAGAATATTCAAACCCCGAACTGACCAATTCCACTCTGCAATACTGCACATTCCCTATCTCTTTGTAATATTTAGTTTTAGAGCCAGTTGGACCCCGGGCCCTCCAGAAAAGGAGAAAGGAAAATCCTGTGGGTCCTCTAATTCACAGGCCATAGGGAAGGACTGGTGCCTGCAAGCTCTTCAGGTGCCAGGAATGGCTTGGTGATGCTTTGTCTCTTCTTCCTTTCTTTCTTCTTGCTACTGAATGTCCCCTTCTTGAAGCACCATCTTAGCCTGTGGAGGACCAAGGGGAGGAAGGAAAAGGCTGGCCTCTGCCTTTAGTGGCCACCTTTTGAAGGGAACAGGTGGCACCTCTCAGGCCTGTTTCTTCCAGAAGGGCCTCTATTCTGGATGGTTCACCACAGCAGCAGGTGAGAGGAGCTTGCCAGCTGCTCTTCTCTCCACCCCAGGGTAGCTTGTCTCACTCCTCTACCCCCCCCCCTTCCAGAATCCAGGCCACCAGATGGCCTGAGCAGGCTGTGTTTATTTGAGGCCATGGAAACCTACAGCTCCTTTTTTCTATTACTCTGGGTCAGGAGCAGGGCTGGAGCCCAGCCTCAGAGCAATAATGCCATGGAATGATGCTGACTTTATTATTCATAATCCCTGAGCTGTTGACCTGAGTGAGTCCCTGGCTTTGCTCCCTGGAGCAGCTTATTCCTGTCACCATAGAGATGCCTCAGTTCCCTCTGAGGTTTTGGGACTAAGACGGGGAGGGACCCAGGAGATTCCCCTTCCAGCCTAGAGCCTGAAAGGCAAGTGAATGTCAATCCCCATTCCCTTCCTAGTTTGCATATACAATGCCAGGGCCTGGGAAGTAGTTTATTCCTCCCTAGGTGCATATTTTGCTCGGTAATTGTGCTTTTACTAAAAATAAAACACTTGGGACACATGGGTGGGTCAAAGGTTGAGTGGTTGAGCGTCTGCCTTTGGCTCAGGTTGTGATCCCGGGATCTGGAATCAAGTCCCACATTGGGCTCCTTGCATGGAGCCTGCTTCTCCCTCCGCCTGGGTCTCTGCCTCTTTTTGTGTCTCTCATGAATAATTAATTAATTAATTAAAAAATAAATAAAAATAAAACTTCATTACAAATAACTAGGATGATTAATCACAAATTGAGCTGTTTTCATTAACCACATTGCCTCTCAACAAAGTAACTTCGCCAACTCTTTACAAACACTGCTTGCTCTACTTTGAACCTTTCTCAGAGTTAGAACTCCTCAGTTTTGAAGTTCATGTCTTAAGAACCCTGCACAGGGATCCCTGGGTGGCGCAGCGGTTTGGCGCCTGCCTTTGGCCCAGGGCGGGATCCTGGAGACCCGGGATCGAATCCCACGTCGGGCTCCCGGTGCATGGAGCCTGCTTCTCCCTCTGCCTGTGTCTCTGCCTCTCTCTCTCTGTGTGTGTGTGACTATCATAAATAAAAAAAAAAGAACCCTGCACAAGGGCTCTGCATAGCCTGTCTTTGGCTGCCCGAGTCTCCACTCACCTCCCCAGCATTCCTTTATCTCCTGGCTAGGAGAAACTGTCATCGTGCCCACAAAGCTGTTTCTTCTATGACGGGGTGTGGGTCCGCTTTTAAAAAACATCTCTTTCTCCACCTGCCTGCTTCTCCTCCCATCTGGTATTTGCCTTGTGGAGACTTCACACACCTGCTCAACCAGGATTTGCTTAGACTGCCTTGTGAATGAATCTGAAGTTACTAAAACAGCTCTAGCAGACTTCACCTTTCGAAAACACACTCCCAAAGAACTCAACTTTTTTTAAAAAATATATTTTTTAGGGACATCTGGGTGGCTCAGTGGTTGAACGCCTGCCCCTGGCTCAGGTGCAGTCTGGGGATTGAGTCCCGCATCAGGCTCCCTGCATGGAGCCTGCTTCTCCCTCTGCCTGGAAATCTTAAAAAAAAAAAATATAAAAATAAAAAATAAATATATATATATATATATATATATATATATATATATATACATATATATAATGTATTTATTTGACAGAGTGAGAGAAGGAATACAAGTAGGGGAGAGGGGGAGAGGGAGAAGCAGACTCCCTGCTGAGCAGGGAGCCCCAGGTGGGACCCAAGCCCAGGGCCTGGGGATCACGACCTGAATGGGAGGCAGACGTTCAACTCAGCTACCCAGACACTCCCAAATAGCTCATCTTACAAATATTTATTGAGTACGTATGATGTGCCAGGTTCTGGGTGCTGCAGACCCAGCAGCGAGCCAGTGCCCTCCTGGAGCTTGTTATATTCTGATTGGAGTCAGGCAATAAACTAAAAATAATAATAAGATTGAGTGACGTGAAAGGAAAAAAAAGGAGATAAAGCAGCGCAGAGTCAGAGAAAAGGGGATGGAGCCGCACTAGGCCAGGCGGGGCGGGCCTCAATGATGGAGAGCGGTCCTGGAGAAGGGCGCAGCCCCAGAAAAGGAGAGAAGTGATGTTTCGGGGGGACACGGATTCCGGGGGTTCTTCTTGAGAGCTCTCTGGCTGGACAACGTGTTTCCCTCCGCCGCGGCGGGCCCCCGCGCTCCCACCCTGCCTCCCGGAGGACAGCGGCCCGGGGGCGCGGCTCGCCGCCTCTCTGCGACCCGGCGGGAACTAACAGTCGCGCGGAACTGAAGTCCCGAGGGAAACAGGCTCGGCGGGACGCGGAAGGAAGCGCCCACCGGAAGTGGCCCGCAGACCCGAACATGGCGGCCGCCGCGTCCCTGCGCTGGGGCCTGAGACGAGCCGGGGCCTGGCTGCTCCCGTGGCCCGCGCGCTGCCCCCGGCGGGCTCTGCACAAGCAGACGGACGGCCCCGAGTTCCAGAGCATCTACAGCCTGGACAAGCTCTACCCGGAATCCCGGGGCTCGGACACCGCCTGGAGGCTCCCGGTGAGCGAGGAGGGCGGGGAGGAAGGGGAGGAAGGGGCGTTTCCCCGCCGCTGCCGGAGGACGTCAGCTTGGGGCGGGAGCAAACTGGAGCCGCGGGCAGGACGGGGCGGGTGGCGGGAGCGAGCAGCGCCGGGGCCGCGGGACGGGTCCTGCCTCTAGCCCCGCCCCCAGCCCCGCCCCCTGGAGGCCCGGGAGCATTCAGAGTTTCCCAGAGCATCACCCGCTTTTCCGCGTTCGTTACCGGGGCTCCAGAGCGGACGGCGAAACCCAGAGGCTGCCAAATCGTTTGGAACCATTTGGGAAGTTACATGGTCCGTAGCTTCCAGGAACCCCAGCGCGCCTGAGGAAACTGGGCTTCTCTTCAAGACGCATTATTTCCAGCCCGCTGGGTACAGGCTCTTCGTCAGGCCCCGGGCAGGAGAGAGAGAGAGGACCTAGCCAGTTCTGGTCGCGTTTCCACCTGCAGGACTGAAAGACAGCATGCATTTATTCACTCACCCATTCAACAAACTTCAAATGAAAACATGTTTGTGTGCACTATGCTGGACATGGAGATAGGGAAGTGGGAAGAAAACAACAACAACCACAATCTGAGTGTTTGTGGAGCTTATCTTCTAATGGAGGGAGACAATAAATAAAATCAGAAATACAGAGTGTGTGAGATGGTCGTTAAGTACTTTGGAGAGAACAAAGCCTGGAAGGAACAAGTGCTAAAGAAGGGGGAAGGATTGTTGTTTTAAGTAGGATGGTCTAGGAAGGCATCTGGGAAGATGGCATTTGAGTAAGGACCTGGAAGAAGCAAGGCAGTGAGCCATGGGAATAGTAGGGAGATGAACATCCCTGTAGCCACCTCAAAGTGGTAGGTAGCATGCTCCACCTGTTCAAGGAACAGCAAGCAGGGAAGGTGTGGCCGAGCAAGGGAGTCAGAGCAGGTGAAGCTGAAGAGGAGAGGGATGGGATGGGGCAAGGCTTGTTCACAGGGTTAAAAGGCCTTTGGCTTTACTGTGAATGCCATGGAATCTCTGGAGGATTTGAGGCAAAGGAGTGGAAAGGTCCAGCTTAGTTTTACAAGGATCACTCTTGGGCTCAGTTGGTGGAGCGTGCAACTTGGGGTTGTGAGTTCAAGCCCCATGTTGGGTGTAGAGGGTACTAAAAATTAGAAAAGTAAAGAAACAAGGATCACTTTCATAGAGCCTTACAGAGTGGACTGTAGAATGGCAAGAACAAGAAGGCCACTTACAAGATCGCAGTAACACAGCCAAGAGATGATAAGCAGAGAGGAGGCACTAGGACTCATAAGAATTGGTCAGGTGTTAGGTATATTCTGAAACAAAACAATTTGCTGATGTATTTTCTATAAGAAGTGAGAATAAGGGGGATCCCTGGGTGGCTCGGCAGTTTAGCGCCTGCCTTTGACCCAGGGCGTGATCCTGGAGTCCCGGGATCGAGTCCCACGTCGGGCTCCCTGCATGAAGCCTGCTTCTCCCTCTGCCCGTGTCTCTGTCTCTCTCTGTCTCTCTCTCTCTCTCTCTCTCTCTCTCTCTCTCTCTGTCTCTCATGAATAAATAAATAAAATCTTAAAAAAAAAAGTGAGAATAAGAGAAGAATTGAAGTCTGAGGTGGAAGAATTGAGTTACCATTAGTGGAGATGAGAAAGTTGTTTGTTCTTTCTCATTAAACAAAAAGTATATTGTGTACCTACTTGTGTCAGGCACTGTTTGAACCATTGCAGATAAAACAGAGGCCTTGCTTCCTGGAGGTGATGTTCTAATGGAAGGAGCAGACAGTAAAGAAATGAGGAAGACACATCGGGTAGCAAGGAGAAATAATGACAGACCAGGGTGCTGCCAGAGAGTTTGAACCAGGAAATTGGAAGTGATGAACATAGACAATATTTGCATCAACACGGATGCAGTGCTCTAGGGAAAGGAGTAGGATAGAGAAGAGAAAGGCTTCCAGGGGCATGTCAGTGTTTAAAAGTTGCAAAAAGCAAGCAAAAGAGCATGGGAAAGTCATAGGGAGGTAAGAAGGAAGCTGGTGAGGATAGCTCAGGAAGAAGAGGGAGAACAGGCCCTGAGGAAGCTGGGGCCTGGAATCTTCTGTGCTACAGAGTGTGCAGGGAGATGAGGATTTCACTCCCAAGTCATTCTAGGATGAAAAGGAATGAAGCCAGGGGGGGACAGGTGAGGATACCATGAGTTTGGGTGGCCAGAAGAGCCTCAGAGGGCCTGTGGACATGGGGCTCCCAGAAACAGCACAGGAGAGACACGGAGGTGAGAAGTCCTGGAGTGAGTAGTTCCATTTGACACAAACCATCTAGGCAGATGGCCTCTCACGTGAGCCCCTGTGGCCCAGGAAGGAACAAGGTGGCCCACCAGGTTTGTTGCTCTGGGTTAGTAGAGCGTGTTCCTTTTGGAGTCTGTCTGAGGCACATGTACTGTGGAGCCTGCCTTGCTTCCAAGGAGCCAGGCTCCTGATGGTTGGTGCCCAATGCTAGCTAGCTAAGGCTGGAGATGTCAGTTCCAGTTTCCCAGTAGAGTGTTTCAGAGGTGGTACCTCTGGAGTCTGGGGAAACTTTTTCTGTCATCCTGATATGATTTTGCTGGGGACCTGAAAATAGTTGTATTACATTTGCATTGTGGCTTTACGTCCTTTCTTTGATTGCCCTGGACCAGTTAGGAGTCACAGAGCAGATAATGTTAATTTGACACTGTATATGTTACATTGCAGGATGATGCAAAGCAAGCCAATAATGACATTCCACTAGGTAAGTAATTTTATTTTATAAAAAATCAGCCACTTCCCCCACTCCTCAACATTCCCTCCAGATCTTTCCAGCTTAACAAAAATAAACTTTTGGTGTGCAAAAGCAGAATCCTCTCAGTGCTCTTTAGAAGGCCAAAAAATGGTGGTACAGCCACTCTAGAGTGCTGTGTAGTGTACGTGTGCAAGCTCTTGATGATCTTGTGGCATGGGCCAGTCTCTACAGTAGATGAGTGGATGGTTATTTGGAAGAAGTTAAGCTGCAGGGACGCCTGGGTGGCTCAGCGGTTGGGCGCCTCCCTTTGGCTCAGGTCATGATCCCCGGATCTGGGATCGAGTCCCGCATTGGGCTCCATGTGAGGAGCCTGCTTCTCCCTCTGCCTGTGTCTCTGCCTCTCTCTGTGTCTCTCATGAATAAATAAATAAAATCTTAAAAAAAATAAATTGGATATGAGGACTGGCTTGAGAAATGGCAAAGAAAGGGCAGACTTGGTGGCTGGGGAACAGGAGGGTGGGACTTCTCCCTGTAAACTGTTTGCATAACTTTAGAATTGTGTGCAATACAAGGCAAGGCCTGACAGGCAGAGCCTGGGAAACAACAAGCCTTTTTTAGAATCAGAGAATTTGTGACATCCACAGACAGTGAAAGGAGTAATAGCCATAGGTGCCGGCTCCTAGTGGCCCTTGTTCAGGGTGACACAGAAACAAAGAGGCTAGTTAACTGAGATACAAAGAAGAGGCCACTCTGTGGCCTAGGAGCTGGTGCCTTGCTGCAACTAGCAGTTTGGTCGCCATCAGCTATGCCTTGAGGAGTACATGTGGCTGGAGGTGGCAAGAAAGCCCGTCTCATCAAAACCAAAGGCAAAGAGATTGTCTCCCGACAGCCTCCAGGGAGATAGGTGGGAACCAGCCATGTTGCAGCTCCTCACCTGCCTCAGGTGCTCTTGTGTTGGGGGGCCTCACAGACCTTTTTGAAAGACAGACCCTGCCCTGGCAGCCTCTGTGGATACAGGCAAGGTTGCCAACACGGTGCTAGAACTGTCCCCCCACAGTACCACGCATTCCTCACCTATGCAGAGAAATGAATTGATTTGATTTTTCAAGAGGAAGGAGATCTCTAGGGGCACCTGGGTGGCTCAGTCAGGTAAGTGTCCAGCTCTTGATCTCAGTTCAGGTCTCGAGCTCAGGGTTGTGAATTCAAGCCCCACATTGGGCTCTGTGCTACGCATGGAGCTTACATTTAAAAAAAAGGAGTGGGGGATGCCTGGGTGGCTCAGTGGTTTAGCGCCGGCCTTTGGCCTGGGGCATGGTCCTGGAGTCCCAAATCTGGCTCCCTGCATGGAGCTTGCTTCTCCCTCTGCCTCTGTCTCTGCCTCTCTCTCTCTCTCTTTCTCTGTGTCTCTCATGAATGAATAAATAGAATCTTAAAAAAATATATATAGAAGGACGCCTGGGTAGCTCAATCGGTTAAGCATCTGCCTTCAGCTCAGGTCATGATCCCAAGGTCCTGGGATGGAGCCCTCCATCGGGCTTCTTGCTCAGCTGGAAGTCTGCTTCTTCTTCTCCCCTCTGCCTCTCCTGCTGCTTGTGCTCTGTCTCTCAAATGAATAAATAAATTTTTTTTAAAAAGGGAACAAAGTCTCAGAAGCAGTCCTGAGATGGGCCACCACTGCCCATCAAGGCCTGCTCTCCACTGCCTTGGGGCCAGTTCTTTGCCACACATACCTCTTGCAGCTCCATCCAGTCTTCTGAAATCTTCCCACTACCATGTCTTCCCCACTTTCCTCAGACACTGTGAGTCTGCTTTCCACGAATTACAAAAACAGAAGGAAGGAACCTCATTTTACATTTTACAGACAAACAAACCTGAGGCCCAGAGAAGCAGAGGGACTTTGCCAAGATCATAGTGATAGAAGCAAGGTTCCCAGCTCCAGTTCAAGTACACTTTCTTTTTTTTTTTTTTTTTTTTTAATTTATTTATTTATGATAGTCACAGAGAGAGAGAGAGGCAGAGACAGAGGCAGAGGGAGAAGCAGGCTCCATGCACCGGGAGCCCGACGTGGGATTCGATCCCAGATCTCCAGGATCCCGCCCTGGGCCAAAGGCAGGCACCAAAGCGCTGCGCCACCCAGGGATCCCTCAAGTACACTTTCATCCAGCAGATGTTTCTACACGCTGACGGGGCACTGGACCACACACTGAATATCTGTCCCCTTGCAGCTTACAGTCTGTGGGGATCCCACATCCACCACATTTTGAAATAAACAACAGTAAACTAAGTTTGTCCCTTAGTTTGAGCTTTTGAGTCTTTGCTTTAAAACAAACAAATGGTGGGGCACCTGGGTGACTCAGTGGTTAAGCATCTGCCTTTGGCTCAGGTCAGGATCCCAGGGTCCTGGGATCAAGTCCCACATCAGGTTCCCCACAGGGAGCCTGCTTCTCCCTCTGCCTGTGTCTCTGCCTCTCTCTGTCTCATGAATAAAAAAATCTTTAGGAAAAAAAAATGGCAAAAAGCTTGGGGCAGCTGGATCTAGTGAGATGGACTGGACCAGAAGCAGACAACCCAGGTCATGATTTTACAGCCTCTACTGTGACCCTGGGAAGGGCACTTACTCTTGATTTTAGTTTTGACATCTGTGAATAATCTCTGACTTTACTGCTCTGAATGTTACATTAGTATATGTAAAAGCCATTGAAAGAGGGGTGTAATGGGGATAGTGATGTTGATAATAAATTAACAGTTTGTGCATTTTACCATGGAATAATCTTTTTTTTTTTTTTTTTGGTGTGTGTTCTGTTTTTATAGATCGTTTGACGATATCTTATTGTCGGAGTAGCGGTCCTGGGGGCCAGAATGTTAACAAAGGTACAAGGCACCTTGTTTTCTTTCTTCATTTTAAAACTTGGCTGGGAGATGTACTTGAGTTCTGTGCTTACATTCATATGGAATAAAGGGATTTTTTTTAGCAGAAGCTCAAATACCACCAGTTTATAATAATCCTCTTTATTCTTTTGAATGTGGTCTGATCCTTAGACTCTCAGCTGTGGGTTGCTAGGACCAGGGTTGGCTTGTGGGCCTAAACAAAGGGAAATCACAGTGTGAGTTGGCAGCCAGCTCAGAGAACAGGTTTCCTTCCTTCTCATGGAACCCATCCCCCCATTCTTTTCAGACCCACTAAACTGTAAGAGAAGCACTGAGCATTTAGTTCCTGGAAGTTACTTTTTGTCAGAAGTGCCTCGCTACGTTTGCAGGCTCATTCCATCACCAACTTTGCATTCCCAAGTTGACACAGGACAGAAATGTCCTTGGCTGGATGTCTTGTCTCCCTGTTTCAGGATCATCACCAGCCACAGGGTGCAGAGCCTACTTAAGAGTCTCAGTGACCCGTGCTCTCTTGTCCCTTTATTCACAGTGAATTCCAAGGCTGAAGTCAGGTTCCATTTGGCAACCGCCGAGTGGATCGCAGAGCCCGTGCGGCAGAAGATAGCCATCACGGTAACCACGGACTCCTTTTTCTGTAGTCCCTCAGTTGCATTTAAACCTTTACTCTGTAGAACTCAGGTTTTGCCTTTGTTCTCTGCAGCATAGAAATAAGATCAACAAGTCAGGAGAGTTGATACTCACCTCTGAATGCAGCCGCTACCAGTTCCGAAATCTGGCAGATTGTCTTCAGAAAATTCGAGACATGATTGCTAAGGCCAGCCAGACAGCTAAGGAGCCATCCAAAGAAGATGCTTTATTACATAGGCTCAGGTGCCAGAAAGTGCCCCAAGCTCCTCTCAGCTGATTCTTGGGGGGGTTGAGGGGTCGCTGCACAGAGGAGATAGGAGGTAGGGGGAGGGCACGACTTCCCAGCAGAAGGTGGGGAAGCTCTGGGAGTGAGAGAGGCCTCCTACCCGAGTGGGGCCCCCACAGTGCTGATCTGCTGCTCTGCTTCCCACCCAGCTGCTAGCAACTGTCATCACTTTGAAAAGCATCGATGGGGAATCTGGGCCTAATTGCAGTCTTTTTGTTTTCAGGATAGAAAACATGAATCGGGAGAGGCTGAGAAAAAAGCGAATAAATTCTGCCATAAAAACAGGCAGGAGGGTGGACATGGACTGAAGTCCCCTCCAGAGTCACTTGGCCCTCTCTAGGGGTCCAGGCTGCAGCAGCCCAGAGCCTGACACCGGCAGGAGACCCTGAGAATGTTCATTTGGAAAGGGTGATGCAGGCCTGAGTTGCAAAGGTCTTCATAGGCAATCACGTGTTATCGAACCTTAATTATCCATTTCATGTATTAGCTGCAGTAAAACTCTGCAATAAATGCGATAGGCTTCACCTCATGCAGAATGCTTTAGAACAGAATTCCAACCTTTTCTGTCCATTGAAATCTGCCTCACGATTGTGGAGCGCACTGGTCAGCGGGGGGGAAACAACAATGAGCTGCGGTGTCTGCACTCAGGGAACATACCTGGGGTGGGAGGGCTGAGACAGGTTAGCAGACCTCTGAGGGTGAGGGGGCTTGAAAAAGGATTAGAATCTTAGTAGAGGTGGGGAGGGACATGCCAGTTGGAGGGAACAGCATGAATATGGGAAAAGAAAAGGCTGGGGTGGAGAACCCAAGGAAGCTATCTGAATGATGGATTCGAGCCAGGGGGTTGTGGGAGGCAAGTCTCGAAAGGGAGACAGAAGCTCAGTGTGGAGACTCAAATTCAAGTTCAAGAGTTTAGATTTTAAGAAATGTAGGTGACAGGGAGGGGCGCCTGGGTTGCTCAGTCAGTTAAGCATCCAACTCTTCGTTTTGGCTCAGATCAGGATCTCAGGGTCATGCACTCAGCAGTGAGTCTGCTGGTGCCTTCTCCTGCTTGAGCACACATGTGCATGCTCCTATGCATGTTCTCTCTCTCTCTCTCTCTCTCTCTCCCCCCCCGCCTCTCTTTCTCCTTCCCTCCCTCCCTCCCTCAAATAAATAAAATCTTTTAAAAAAGAAATGTAGGTGAAGGGGAACTGCTGAGATTCTCAAGTGGGAAGGAGTACCACGTGTTAGGTACTGTCACATGCTGTGGGGTTTTAGAGGCAAGAAAAGAACGAGTTGGAACTGAAAATAGGTTTTTGCAATCCTTTGGGTATGGGAAGCACCCAGGGCAGCATAACTATAGCAGCTCACTCTGGTGTGTATTAATTTATTAGAATGTTCTCTATAATTTTGACCTAGTTCACTCGTTCAGCAGATAGTGCGTTGTGATGCTCTAAATGCCAGACAATTAGCTGTAGTAGTACATACACTTGATGTGAGCAGGGCCCTCATCATTCATGTGAGTGTAAACAAAGGGTTAAAAACTTACTGATATGGGGATCCCTGGGTGGCGCAGCAGTTTGTTTGGCGCCTGCCTTTGGCCCAGGGCGTGATCCTGGAGACCCGATCCCACGTTGGGCTCCCGGTGCATGGAACCTGCTTCTCCCTCTGCCTGTGTCTCTGCCTCTCTCACTCTCTCTCTCTGTGACTATCATAAGTAAATAAAAAATAAATAAAAAAACTTACTGATAAATGACTAGCAAGAGTCCCCTCAATAGACTCAGGGCCCAGGAGGGGATGAAGTTCATATGCAAGACGGTGCAACGTTGATTTGTTTATTCGTTAACAAATAGTGAAAGCCAGGCACTGGTGAAGTCCCAGGGACTCAGCAATGAACAAAAGGAGTCCTTTCTGAGGCACTTGAGTGGCTCAGTCAGTTAAGTGACTGCCTTCAGGTCATGATCCTGGGGTCCTGGGATCCAGCTGGCATCGGGCTCCCTGCTGAGCAGAGAGTCTGTTTCTCCATCTCTCTCTGCTGTTCCCCCTGCTTGTGCTCTCTGGCTCGCGCTCTCTCTCTCTCTCTCTATCAAATAAATAATTTTTTTTAAAAAAAAGCTCTTTCTTCCAGACAATTTACATTCGATCAGGTGATGATAAAAGCTGAGAAGAAAAATGGATTCCTGTTACGGTAACAACCTAAAACGTGGTGAATAATTTGTCTGAATAGGCTCTGGGAACCAGAGAAGCAACTAGTTCCAGCTTGAGGGTCAGAGAAAATAAACTTGCTTGCAGTGCTTGAGATGGGGAGGAAGGAGGGGAGGGGCCAGTCATGCAAACAAGGTAAGAGCTTAAAATGTGACAGCTAGGACATTTAGACTACCTCTGCAGAGGCTGTCGGGAAGGTATCTGCGAATGGACAAGGAGAGTGAAGGGAGATGAATGGACAAGGAGAGTGAAGGGAGATGAGCATAGGCTGGCAGACTGACCCATGTAGGAGGCAGGGACCCATCCTTGGAACTAGGGCAGTGGCAACAAGAAAGGAGAGCCACTAGCAGGTGCAAAAGGATGATGGAGACAGAAGATGGCCCCAGGTGGAGCATGGAGCAGGTGTGTGTCACACGGGTGATGCTGCGTATGGAGACAGGGAAGGCACGAAGGGTGCAGCCTCGGGAGGATGCTGGGATGGAGGATGGTGGGATGAGAATGGCTTCGCCTGTGAGGAGCTGACTCGTGCGGCCTGAGGAGGAAGGCTCTGAGGTGATGCCCAGGAGGGAGGGTGGAGGCCTGGGGCTGCGAGTGAGGGTGCGGTTGGAGGATGCAGGATGGAGCGCAGAAGCGGAGTGTTGGGGATGGTAAGAGCCATGGAGGACGAGCAGCGCAGAACCTGGGGACATGCTGGGTTAGATGGTGGCAGCAGGGGAACCAGAAAAAGCATCCCTGTGGGCTGACCCTGGAACACAGTGCTGGACCCGAGAGGCCCCCAGAAAACACTGGTGACACAGGAAGGGACCTGGAAAGGCATTCGGGACACACTGGAGGGGGTGAAAAGATAACAGGCTGGAAAAAAAAAAAAAAAACAGGCTGGGGGACAGGGAGTAGAGCACAGGGATAGGACCCATCCTTAAAAAGGGCGGAGGGCTGGGCTGCCTGGCTGACTCGGGTAGAGCATGTGACTCTCGGGTCCTCAGTTCGAGCCCCACTTTGGCAGTGGGGCCTACTAATAAAACAATTGTTTTTTTAAAAAAGGCAGAGGACCAAAGAATGAACACAGGTGACTGCCCAAGCCAGTGGCTCCGGGGAGTCCCAGTTGAAAGCAACGCAAAACCGCTTTCGGGTGAGGAAAGGATTTAGCGGGAGGAGGGGGTGGCTGAGCGGAGGCGGCACAAGGAGCCTCCTGGAGGGACTTTGGTTAAGGTAACGGGGCGCAGGCCAAGGCAGGGGACTGGAGCCAGGTGGGCCCCACTCCCCCCCTCTTGCTGAGGTTAGGGGAGGAAGAGGTGAGTTTCTGCAGACTTTCCACGTCGGAGAGAGAAAAACAAAAAAGAAGGTGCCCACACCCCCTGTGCCCTGGGTGCTTGGAGACGGGAGAGGCAGGTCCTGGACGCAGGCACGACGGGGACAAACAGAAACAGCCGCCTCCGCCGAAGCTTCTGCGGGAAGGGCGGGGAGCTTGGGGGGACCCGAACCCTAAACGGGGTGACGTTTGCACATGAGCTCGTTCTTTCCCCGTGTTACGTTTTGTAAACTGTCCTAAAGGAACGGCGTATTGGGGCGAAGGATCGATGTGGCTCTACATAGATTTTAGATCTGATGCGTATCTGTGACCGGAAAGATTCGTCCCTCCGGGTCCGTGCACTGCCTCGCGATGCTGAAGATCCTATGCTCCGGCCCCCCGCCTGCGCTCGTGGCCCTCACGCTCCTGGAGCCCGTCGGGCCTGCACAGGGGACACCACGGCTGGGGCGCCGGGCCCCCGCGGCTCCCGGGGCTGCCTCCCCGCTGCTGACGCCCCGGCGCGGGCGGCCGAGACTAGAGGCCCGGAAGGCGCCGCCTCGACCCGCAGGCCCCAGTGGCCTAATGGATAAGGCACTGGCCTCCTAAGCCAGGGATTGTGGGTTCGAGTCCCACCTGGGGTACGGGCGCCTTTTTGGCGCCGAGCCTCGGCCGCGTTGAAGAGCCCGAAGATGACCGCTCACGACTTTTGTGCGGTCCGCAGGCCGAGACCTCGGAGGCTTGAAGGAGCAGCGTGTCCCCAGGGACCGCGGGGACACCTGGGCCGGAGCGGGGAGAGCAGACCGTGCTGACCCCCACGCTCCGTGAGCTTGCGGAGCCCGGTCGCAGGGCCCCCGGCACCAAAAGTTCCCGCGGGGAGAAGCCGCCCGCGCCACCCCAGGTGGGACTCGAACCCACAATCCCTGGCTTAGGAGGCCAGTGCCTTATCCATTAGGCCACTGGGGCGCGACAACACGCGGCGCCCACGTGGTCGGTGGTAACGCGCAGCCGCACGCGCGCGGCGCTCCCGCGGGGCTGGACCGCGCCCCCGGACCCGAGCGGCCGCTGGAGGCCGAGGCTCGGCGACCAAGGTGCACGGGGAGGAGCGCGCTTCCCGGAAGGCGAGTGCCGAGCGGCCTCGGGGACCCGGCAGGGGACGAGGAGGGAAGCAGAACGAACCGCAGACGAGGCCGCCGGGCCGGGCTGCCGTGGCCCGCGTCACCGAAGGGCAGGCGCCCCTCACCCAAAAGGAAGCCGACCACGAAGGGACTCGAACCCTCAATCTTCTGATCCGAAGTCAGACGCCTTATCCGTTAGGCCACGCGGCCGCGACGCCCAGGGGGCCGCCGTGCGCGGGCCAGGTGCAGCCCCCTCGGAGGTGGCGGCGCGGGCGGCGCGGGCGGGACCTCAGGCTGCGTCGCAGGTGCGGCGGGGCCGGAGCCCGGTGCGGCTCCCGCGGCAGCGTCAGTGCTGGTGCGGCCCCAGGTCACTAAATAGGTGTCCCGGCAGTGAAACCTGCGTGAGGGGACCGCGTGGCCTAATGGATAAGGCGTCTGACTTCGGATCAGAAGATTGAGGGTTCGAGTCCCTTCGTGGTCGAAATGTTTTAATCCTGAAGAGAAAGACATTATAAAAAAAATCTTGAAGAGAGACTAGCACAACCTCCATCCCTGGCTCTACCCTAGTTTTAGACACAGTCGGGCCTCCGCACCCCTTCCTGACCGCAGCCCCCCTCACCTGAAGCTGATTGTGACGGCTCCCGTCCAATCCAATTTTGCACCTGGGAGCTCCCGGACCTGACGTCATTACGCCGCCCCTGGGCATCACAGTTTAAGAGACATGTGATCCGGCGCCGCTCGCGTGAAGCCCCAGTGGCCTAATGGATAAGGCACTGGCCTCCTAAGCCAGGGATTGTGGGTTCGAGTCCCATCTGGGGTGAGGTGGTCTGGTTGTGGGAGTGCTTTTTCAAATTACCTGTAAAGTAAAAAAACTTAAAGACCATACGGCGAAATCCTCTTTCTCATTTTTTCTCTCTCTCTCTTTTTTTTTTTTTTTTT